AAATTACATGGTAGGGTTGCTTCTTTTCTCTTCATCTAGAAACAACCAAAAAGTCACAATCCACTTTCTTTTGTACTATGTCATATGTTACATTTGCTATCAAGTTGTACAATGGGTGTCATTTTTCTATAATTCTTTCTTTAAATTGTGGTGGAGATTTAGACTACTATTTACATTCAAGCTCCTACATGTTAGTTAAAAGTCAGATTTTTAATAGATTTTGATAAAAGTTGATGAAATGTGTGGTTTAAAAATTGATAAAAGTTGTAGGTTCCATAAAACGTTGCTTAAATCTAGTATATATACACACACGTGTGTGTGGGGTGAAAATACTTAAATGCTTACATCAGTAAAATGAATTTTGATAATTATTTAGTAGGATTGTGGATTCTATTGTGTGTACAAAAGACACCCACATAAATTCAATGACTAGACAAACTAGGTGGGGCCCTTTTTTTTTCAATATTTTAAACTCACATGGGGTCACACCCATGTGAGTTTTCTGTTTAAATTCTGTTGGAATTCTTCTGTACAAACGCATTTTCTCTAATTTGGTGTGGTCATCCCATTCACAACGTTAGGCTAAATTGGTAGATTGTCCCATCCTATGATTTCTAAACATACTACACCTAGACCTAGATAATGAGTTTGGTAAGATATTGAGCATTTGAAATTGAGCTATGCATTCAATTCCAAATGACCTTGGATTGATCATGTGGTTAAACTCGTACCATTTAGGTTTACGTCATTTATCTAGATAACTTCTTTTGATAATATAAAAATTGTTCTTGAAAAAATAATATATATGGACTAGGAGATCAAGGTAATAACGTTTTAACATGAGACTCCATATCGACTAGAGAAATCTTATGAAATGATCAACCTTATCTCTAGCGTGCGAGGTTATATCTTATATATTTTTGCTATAATAAAAATAATGTTGACCTTTTTAATCTATTTATTGAAATCTTGGTACTACTAACCTGAGAATTTTTTTTCAAAAAAAATGAAAAAATAAAAAAAATTCAAGATGCAAACTGCAAATTTTTCCACCTTCAAATGTCATCATAGTGACGAATGTGGTGGGCAAAATGGACGACTTGGACATCTTCGAAACTCGCGACTTGACCAAAGACAAAGCAAGCCCCCCCTTCAAACCCCCTTCCTTTTATATATATTATTATTGAAGTGTAAACTTGAAACTATGGAAGTGGAAAATATGAGCAACAGAGTTACGGGTCACGATGAAGAAGATGATGTTTCAGTTTCACTTCCTGGATTTCGATTTCATCCCACAGATGAAGAACTTGTCGATTTTTATCTTCGAAGGAAAGTTGAAGAGATACCAATTAGAATTGAACTCATCAAACAAATCGATATCTACAAGTACGATCCATGGGATCTACCAAGTATGTAATTATTTTCTTTCCCTTTTTAAACCTTCAATAATTTGCTTTAATTTTGCATGAATAGTATCTGTTCACATGTCCAAAAGGGATGGGTTCGAATTTTTATTGGCACGTTTGGTAGGGAGAATTAGTGACGTTTTCCATTTTGCTGGATAATCAGAAGAAAGTAACATAGGAGACAAGGAGTGGTACTTCTTTTGCAAAAGAGGAAGAAAATATAGGAACAGCATTAGACCCAATCGAGTGACCGGTTCTGGGTTTTGGAAAGCCACTGGTATTGACAGACCAATATATTCTTCCAGTAGCAATGGCCATGACTGCATTGGGCTGAAGAAATCCCTGGTGTACTATCGCGGAAGTGCTGGAAAGGGCACCAAAACCGACTGGCAGATGCATGAATTCCGTCTTCCGGCTCCTGTTCAAGATAAAAGCACCAAAAATATTGATCAAGCTGCTGTAAGAAAACCATCAAATCTTTAATTAACTCAATAACTTTTTATTCACAAATCGAGTGTTTTATGCTTTTTGTTGGACCGAGTGCAAGCTCGACTACAATGACTAAGCCATACATGTATCAGATCGCCCTAATTCCGTGCATTAACGGGTTCTGCAGGAAGTTTGGACTCTTTGTCGGATTTTAAAGCGAAATGTTTCGTACAAAAAATGCATGCCAGAATGGAAAGATGTGCCCGCTAAGAGGAACTCGTGCAACGTGGAGTCTGCATATCAAAATAGCCATAGTTACATTAGTTTCAGTGATGAGAAGAAACCCTGTTGGAGTCATGGTGAAAACACTGGAAACCAACAACAGGTTATAGGGCACTACAACTCAGACTCAGTAATTCAAGGGCCATTTCCAGCAATATCCTACTCTTCGAACCCGGATAGGGAAGATCTTAGCTCCATTGTAAACTGTGATGATATGCCTATTTAAATCTGCCTCAGTAATCACACCAGTATTGGCCCATATATGAGCATCCATCTATATGCATACTTATTAGCAAGAGTTAGCATTAATGGGAAGGTAACTAATTGTGTGAAATATTAAAATCAATATATATTTGTTGGAGTCAAAAAGTGTTGTGGCACCTCTTGATTTAACTTAAACGAAAATTATGAAAACGGGAAATGTAGCTAGGTCATACAAGTTATGTCAACGAGTCAAACCCGAGCCCAAAAAATAAAAGCTCGGACTCGACTCGAGCTTTTTTAGGCCGAGCTTTTTTGGGTCTGAGCCGAGCCGAGCAAAGCTC